TGGACTCGTGGGCAAAAGAACCTATGGTTTTTCCCAGGTGAAGGCGCTGCGGAGCGAGACCTCCGGGGAGGGGCGGCCGCAGTTGCCGAAGGAGCTGCAGATGGAGGCCAGCGGGGCAGTGCTGGATGATCTGTGATCGTGGCCACGAGGGGGATATGTGGAGGAGGGAGGAGGGAGGGGGACACGTGAAGCAGGGGGAGGAGGGATGGAGGGGGACACGTGGAGGAGGGAGGAGGTCATCCCGCAGGGCGTGGGGAGAGACTGGTGAAAGGTTGCCCAGCGAGCGTGCAGCATCACCTTGGTCTGCAGACTGTCTCGCACACAAGGAGGGGTCGGGAGGGCAGTGTGGAGCTGCGGGCGGCAGGCCGGTGGGCTGCTGCCAGTCGGCGGGGCTGGCCGGGTACTGGGCGCGCTCGTCAACTTGCTGGTGGTGAGGCGCTCCTCGTCAAAAGTCGTCGTCGTCCTCCTCCTCCTCCTCCTCTGTTATCTCATCCTCATCCCTCCTCCTTCTCATTCTCCCTATCCTCCTCTACCGTAGCCATTGTGGCTCAAGCCATTTTGGCTAAAGTAAAACAACTACCAAGCCAGCTGGGCAGGAACAGCTCCATCGCTGCTCCTCAGAGTGCCTGCCCTGGCCAGGAGTCAGCCGCTTTCGTTTCCCTTCTTTTCCCCTCTCCCACAGCATCATGCCCGAACGACGCCGTCGCCGTGATGGAAGTGATGGCAGCGCTGAGGTCCGTCGCCGTGACCACCGTCGGGATGACAGTGCAGACGAGCGGCGCCGTCCACGATCGGCATCGCACAGCAGCTACCGCAGCAGCCGCAGCTCAGCAGCCAGCCGCAGCAGCCGAGGTGTCCCTGCGGGCAAGCCAGTCAAGGTCATGTCCACAGATGACAAGCTCGACCAGCTCCTCACGTCCTTCTCGGGTTTTGGACGCCAGTTGGCAGCATCGAGCTACGACATCTCCCCCATCAAGAATCAGGTCCAGGCCAACGTTCAGCGGTGCAATGCTCTCAGTGAGCAGATCACCGACCTAACCCGCCAGACGAACGACAAGTTCCAGGAACTTGAGGGCCAGACCAGTGCCGCTTGGACCGACCTCAACGACAGGTTCAACATCCTTCACTCCGAAGTCAACAACCGCCTTGCGGGTGGCACAGCGACCCCGACCTACGCGTTGGACAGAGATGATGAAGACAGTGTCCACCACAAAGTTCAAGCACATATCAAGGCCATCGAGGAGCGACTCCGCTCCATCTCTGCACCTCCTTTGCTGGCTCTCGTTCTACCTCCTCGCCCTCCGATGCAGCCATGGACAACACATGCAAGCTGATTGTTATTGGCTCCCCTCGGCAGATGATGCAGCCACATCGGCGAAACGATTCGCCAGCGCTACGCCCCTGCCGACAAGGCGCAGCACATCTCCATCAAAGCCTTCGACATGACCAAGAATATCACCCTCCACTTCGAGAGGGCAGAGGACACCACCAATTTCATGAATATCGCCTCGCGTGATGGCCAGTTTTCGCACGCTGACCCGTTGATGCCTAGCAAGCCGCTTTCCCTCTGCATCGAGCTCGACCAGTCGATCACTGGCCGCCAGCTCTTCCTCTCCATGGGCCGCATCCGCTCGCTCATCACCCGTGCCCTCCTCCCGAAGAACATCGGGGTCGGCAGCAGCGGGCTCGGTGGCCTGGTCTATGCGATCAGAGGCCCTGATGACCCTGTCCCTCTTGTGCAGTGCCACTGCGCGGAGGGCACCACGACCGCCACGATCGAGTTCCACGACGATTGTCTCGATGTTCCACGACGATTGTCTCTCGGAGCTGAAGGATCAGCTTCGTGAGGCGGCCGCCCTTCAGATCCGCCAGCCCTTTCGGCGCTGAAGGAGATTGCTCGCCGCAGCGAGGCGCTCTTTTTGATTTCCAGTCTCGCCATGCTCCTTCCTCAACGCATTTTGCAGTGACAGTGACGTTGGGTCTAGGCCTCTTCCTCGCTCTAATAGTCTTCCCTACTTCCCTTCTTGCAAGTGGTCTGTCTGCTCGTGGAACTCCCGCGGCCTCTTCAGTTCAGTCCGCCACGCCAGTTGGCGAGCCAGCGCTCGCTTCAGACTCCTCCTCTCCCTCACTCGGCAATTTCAGATGACATGTTGTCAGCAAGCGCATCGACAGATAGGTGATATCGGTGAGCTCCGTCGCGAGCTGAACTCTTATGGGGAGGCTTCAACATAGCCACTCGCTCTTCTCTGATAGCCAGCGTGAAGGTGGTGTCGTTACTATCCTGTGCCCTGGCATTACTCGCCTTTTCCCAGCCATCCAGCATATTGAAGTGATTACAGGACGGGTTCTCCCGACGAACTTGATCGGCCCGCAAGGGCTCCTTGCCATCTTCAACCTCCACCTCCCCAACACCAGTGACACCCTCCCGATCTATGCTCGTGCTTTGCATGTGGTCAAGCGTGCCTGCGCCTCTTTGCCAGCCAGCAACATATTCTTTACGGTGGATGAGGAGGGCAGAATGCAGGGTGACGGTTCGGTCTGGTCTCTTGGGGACAGGGCTCGTACTCGTCTATTCCGTCGTCTCTTCCCTCAGACCGTTGAGTTGTATCAGTAGCAGGACGCGCGGAGGGAAGTTCGTGCTGGGATTGTTGCACGCACTGCCCGTCTTGGCCGTGCGTGCCCTTCGCTGCCGCCGGCAGTGCTTCGAGAGTTTACGGTTCGGCCTGGAGTCATTGGCGTACTCGAGGCCAAGATGCCGAGTGACCACATCCCCCTCTTCTTCAGCATTGGGCCATTCCAGCCTGACACCTCCTGCCCCTCTGTACCCAAGTGGATTGCCTGTCGTGAGGAGTTCGGTATCTTTTTTTTGGAGAGTGCCATCTCGGAGACCCCCGCGGACCTTGAGGCCCTACCCCGTCTTGAAAAAGTCAAAGAGGCCATGTGCACCGCTGCCGCTAAAGTTCGGGGCGCTCTTAACGTAAACTTGCTTCGTCCTTAGAGGAGAAACGCCACTGGGCCCTGCAAGCTCTCCGAGGATTGCGCCTTGGCCGTGAGTGGATTATTGCCCGTTCACTTCGTTGCTATCCTGTCTTGCAGCGCCTTTTTAACTTGACCAAGTTCCAGTGTGAACCTCCGGGCCTGTCTGCGCTGATGCGCTCAATCCAGATTCAATTCCTGTACCAAGAGGAACGCGAGCTTGAGCTCTCTGATGCCAGTCCCGAGGTCAAGCGTGGTCAGAATGAAGAGTATCAGCGCAATCAGGAGATCTGGGGAAAAAAGGTTTCGCAGTAGGACCAGACTCTCTTGTGTATATGACGAGCACGGTAATCCTTGCTTATCGGACGACAGTTCCGCCGAAGTTCTGAAGCAGTACTGGTCCCAGGTCTTTTCGCCCCCGTCGCTGGACCCCTCGCTGTGGGATGAGACTGATCCGTTTATCCGGCAGGTTCCTGAACCTCTTCCTCGCTCCTGGGTGCTGTCTTATAGGGAATGGGTTGACTTTATTCGCATTCGGTCTCGCAAGAAGTGTTGGTGCTGACTGGGTGACATTTCTGGCGACCTGAAGGTGTGTAGAACCATGGGTGTACCATTGGATCCTGAGGCAAGTGTGACGACCGCTGAGCTCACGGCGGCAACCGACCTGACTGATGCAACCGAGGTGCTAAGCCCTCTTGCTGGCTCACAATTAATGAAGTCTGCCCAGTGACCCCCTGCCAAGTTGGATGTAGTTGGAACGGTCGAATGTTCGAGTCTTGTGAGTTACCCCCATCAAGTTTATCGCCCGCGCGAGAGGGACACCTCCCAGATCCTCACTGAACGCCTCAACGCCTTTTCTCTTCTTCCTAATTCGTCTCCTGCTCAAACTACTCGGCGTTCTCCTTCCTCATCCTCCGCGGTCCTCCTGCTCCCCCCCAGCCCTCCAGCTCACCCAATTCCTCTTTTCGATCTTCTCCCTCCTTCCCCTCACTCGTCCTCCCTGCTGCCTCGTCCCTGCTCCTTCCTCCACCCTTCATCCTCCCTTCTCCTCCTGCTCTCTCTTCTCTCCTTCCTCCTCCCTCCTCCTCCTGCCATGCTTCGCTCCTGCTGATGCCCCCTGCTTTCTCATCTCTCCATGTCTCCATCTCTCTGATTTTGCCCTCTCCCTCCATGTCCTTTCCCTGCGAATAACTCCTCCCTGTCGCACCCCCAGGCGTGTCGGTACGGAGGGCCGGGCGTCTCGCTTGAGACTTTTCTGTCCGTTTATGGTTCTGAAGCTCGGAATTGGCTTGTGAGAGCTTCAAGGATGTAGGGCGGCTGGTTTCCAAATTGTGGCTCTCGCCATCGGCGCCACGCACATTCGGTTTCAAAGCCAGGGCCAACTTCAAGGTTGGAGGGCGGCCCGTTTCAAGATGTGGCTCTCGCCTCAGCTCCGCGCACATGTGCTTTCAAAACTTCAACGGCTTCAAGGATGGATGGTGGTTCCTTTTTTACATGTGGCTTTCGCGTCAGCGCCGAGCACATTCGGTCCCAAAAATGACAACGGTGTCATGGATTCGTATGGTGTTCTGGCACTATTCAGGAGTGTGAGGACGCAGCAGGTGTTCTGGCACGATCCAGGGTTGCCATGACGCACCAGCCATGTTGATTCGTGGCATTGAAGTCCCAGGAATGGTGTTCTGGCGCGGTCGAGGCTTTTCAGACGGGTGTTTTTCAACGGGGGACTCCCAGGAGTAAGCATTTTTTGTAGGAGCCGATGAAGAAGTAATTTGGAGGAAGGGTTCATTAGAACAATGTTGATGCTCCTTTGGCTTACACTGGTCCTTCTCCTGCTCATCCTCTGTGCTGCTCCTCCCCCTAACGCCTCCTGCCCCTCTCCCCCTCTCCACCCTCCTCCTCCTCCTCCGCCTCCTCTTCGTTCCCCTCCTTCCTCCGCCTCCTCCCCCTGCCAACCCTCCTCCTTCTCCTCTTCCCCTTCCTCGCCCTCCTCCCCCTCCTCGTCCTCCTCCTCCTCCTCCTCCTCCTCATATGTGATTCGTTGATGCGGACGAGTTCGCTTCGCAACGCCGATGCCCTCGAGCCTCCCACCCGCGATCTGCGGGGGGAGGGAGAGCAAAAACCAAGAGGTAGCAATGTATATAAGCAAGACGGAGGGCGGATACCTGTGACCATGGAGGAGGGAGGAAGAAGGGGTAGCTAATCTCCAGCACTGTGCGGGTGCAGAGATGGACCGAGCACGGGCCCCACCCTCCTTGGGGGGCCTCCCCCCCCCTCCTCCTCTTCCTCCTCCTCCTCCTCCTCCTCCTCCTCCTCCTTCTCTGTCCTTCTCTGTGCTCCTCGCCAACCTGGTGGCGGCGAGGCCCGCGGCCGCGCAGCGGGTGCTCGAGCTCGGGACGCTTGGCCTGGTGGTGCCGCTGATCGCCCCCGAGGACCCGTCGGAACCGGAAGCCCCCATCCGCACACCCGCCGGCCGGCCCGGGCCAGGCCCACCCGTTGCGCCCAGATCGTTGTGTTCTACGACGCTCCTCGAAGTCAAACGCGGGTTTTATCCAACCCCGTCGCCCCCGACTTTCAATGTTGATGGACGCGCGCAGCGAGGCCCGCGGGGTCGACAAAAATTGCAGACGCCAGATTCGGCGTCAACAGGGCCATTGGGGTCTGGGGGCGTCGCCACTGGCTGGCTGAGCCGAGCATCCAGAAGGACGTGTGGGCAGAAGAGTGCACGATTGGCAGCTCTTCGTGGAAATCTAAAGTACACCCGCTCGACTGTGAAGCAGGAAACAAGAGAGGAGCGGGAGGGGAAAGGGAGGAGGACGACGAGGAGCGGGCGAAGTGGAGTTACACACAACGCAAATCATACACCGAAACCGCCCACTGTTGTCTCGGGCGCCCTCGTTTCCGACGGCGAGCCGCCGTCTCGGCGCCTCGGGCGAGCCCAGTTCTTGGGAATGCCGTCCGCATCGCACATGATGTTTTTGATCAGGTGATCAGGGATGGGTCTGGGGAGCTGGCGATTCGACTGTACAGAGCTATCTGGCGTTCCTGCAGATAGCGGTGTCGACGACGCTCGCTGCAACACGTCGCTGTTGCGATCACGAGAAACAAAAGAGTGGTGAATACCAAGTATCCGCCGCAAGCATTTGCAGTGGAAGCTGTCCAATCTCGACCTGTCTGCTTTTAACAGCCATACAGAATCCAAGGAGTACATGAGCTTGCTGATCACGCGGCTGGAATATATGATATATTTTCGTTGTTTCCAAATTGACTCGTGCGCCCAAATCCGGTCCAACAGCTTGAAAGTGTTAGTCGCTTCCCCCAATCGCTGGGTCACCTAGGTCGTTGCCTATCCTTCGCACGTGATAAGCCCGCCAAGGTAAACGGCTTCGCGGACTGACTTGATCGGCTCGCCAGTCGGCCTGGAAATCCTGCTGTTTGTTGAGAAATTCATTTGAATTGTTTTTTCCCAGTTCAACTCCAGTCCGTACTCCTCTCCCTCAGCAACAATTGCCGCCAAAAGGGCGTTCATGTTTCAGCGTGTCGTGAAAGAAGCAACGTGTCATCAGCGTAGAGGATATCGCGCGTCACTCTAATTTCCGGCTCTGCTTGGAGATCAACTGTGCGAACAACGTCATGCAGCATCCCGCTTTGAACGATGATAAACAAGTTGGGTAACAGGGGCAGCCCTGCGCAAACCCAGCGTGCTGTACTCTTCCAGATGACGTGCCTGTGTTGTCCAGGATGGTGAAATGTCTTGCTGCGTATATGGACCGTATAAGTTCAACCATGCAGGGAGGATCACCGAAGCGGAGGAGTGCGCCACACATGCAATCTGGCTAAGTCCTGTCAAATGCATTGGCCCAGTCAAGCATGAGTAGAGAAATTATTCCGTCTCTTGGGACGTCTTGGGGGTCTCTTGGCGGTCTTGGGGGGCTCTTGGGCGTCTTGGGTGCCTCGGGGGGCCTCTTGGAGCGTCTGGGGGGCATGTTGGGTGCCTCGGGGATCCTCTTGCAGCTTTTTTTGGGCCTCTTGGGGGTCTCTTGGGAACCTCTTGGAGGCCTCTTGAGGCCCTCTTTGGGGGCCCTTGGGGGCTTTAAGGGCGCTCTTCGGGCCATTTCGGGGGCCATCGATCAAACAAGAGGGGAACTCCAATTAGCGCCCCTCCCACAAGAGGCCAACATGGGGCCCCAACATAGTAAAACCAATGATTTTGGCTTCCTCGCCGAGGCCGTTTCGGACGCTCCAGTGGGTCGCGGCACCGCCCGTCCAGGTCCAGGGGATGGGGTAGGGAGAGGGGTAAGCCCCTCCCCGAAGGGGAAGAAGGGGGTTGGAAGAGGAAGCTCCCTAGACCTCCTACGCCCGGAGGGCCGGGGGGATTGCTCCAGGCTCCGCGCAGAGAGTACGACCAAAGAGTGTCTTTGCAGCAGTACCCATCTTTTTATCTGGTACATGTATCCTTGCCTTCCGAGGCGGCAGTACCACTAAGACAAGAGGGGATTTCTACTCATGCCACTTACTGGGACACTTCTCACTAAGGTCAGTGCCGACCTCGCGGGCTTGGCGGGCGCCGACTCTTCTTTTTAGTCTCTTCCGCTTCTTCACCTCTTTCACTTCCTGCGGCGCCCGGCAGGTCTCTTGCGCCGGGTCGTACGCCTGCATGCTTGCATCAGTTTTTTTCGCACACTGCACAACCGCCACAGCGTTCACTCCCAGGTCGGTCTAACGGAGGAGGAAGAGGAGGAGGAGGAGGAGGAGGAGGAGGAGGAGGAGGAGGAGGGCAGAAGAAGGAGGAGGAGGAGGAGGAGGAGGAGGAGGAGGCGGAGGCGGAGGAGGAGGGGGAGGAGGAGGGATGGATGATGATGATGATGATGATGATGATGATGATGATGATGATGATGATTGATGATGATGATGATGATGATGATGATGATGATGATGATGATGATGATGATGATGATGATGATGATGATGATGATGATGATGATGATGATGATGATGATGATGATGATGATGAGGATGATGATGATGATGATGATGAGGATGGTGATGATGATGATGATGATGATGATGATGATGATGGTGGTGGTGGTGGTGGTGGTGGTGGTGATGCTGATGATGATGATGATGATGATGATGATGATGATGATGATGATGATGTTGATGATGAGGAGGAGAAGGAGGAGGAGGAGGAGGAGGAGGAGGAGGAGGAGGGAGGGCGAGGAGGAGGAGGCGGCGGCGGAGGAGGAAGAGCAGGAGGAGGAGGAAGAGGAGGCGGAGGAGGAGGAGGAGGAGGAGAAGGTGGAGAAAAAAGAGGAAAAGGAGGAAAAGGAGGAGGACGAGGAGGAGGAAGGGGAGGTCTCGACCCCGTCTCCGTCCGTCTCTGCACGGGATGCCGGGCGCCATCTCGACCCATAGACGCCCCGAGGCTCGAAAAGGACCCTCGCAGGGGGCCGAAACTCGCGCGAGCCGCCCGCCGCCGCCCGATTTCACTTCCACTGTCCTTTGGCCACTCCGTCAAGTTCAGGGACAAGGCACCCTTCAGGCTGTGCAAGCCGGTAGTATCCTCCTCCTCCTCCTCCTTCTCCTCCTCCTCCTCCTCTTCCTCCTCCTCCTCCTCCTCCTCCTCCTCCTCCTCCTCCTCTTCGTTGAACGAGTTTCCTCTTCCTCCCCCCCTCCCTTTTGAGGAGGCCTGCGCGACCACCGCCACCGAGGACGACGGCCCGGACGCGGCCGTGTCCGCGGAGATGCTGGCCGCGCGGCTGCTGGCCGCCGGCCCAGGCTCCGTGCCGCCGGCGCTGCAGGGGGAGCTCGCGCGCCGCCTGGCGCGCGTCGTCCAGCGGGGCGCGCCCGCAGCGGGCCGCGCCGACGTCGCGGCGATCGAGCGGCTGTCGGGGGCCAACGGGTGTGCCTGCCCCGAGATCCTGGCGCTGCATATTGTTCACAGCGGGCGCTCTGTCGCCCGGTTTCGGGCACTGGGACCCTCACAGATGGATCCAGCTTGAGAACAACAGCGCAGAAATATGGGGTCCAGGGCACCGTGGGCGATTTTGTTCTGTGTTGCTTTTTGTTGCAAGGTCAGATCTGCGAGCTAGGCCTCACAGATGGGGTCGGAGCAGACGGAGTCGGAGGATCGCGCCGCATGCATCGCCGATGCATCGGTGATCCAGCTCGATGTGGAGCCCGACTTTCTCCGCGTCGACGGCGCCAATGCATCGGCGATGCGGCGCGACTCCCATTCGGGAGGTCTGTAACACAGGGCGTGCTTACGCTGGTGTGCGGTTTGCGATCTGCGCCGTTGGGGCTCCGGGCCACCACGCTGCCCTCCTCGGGCCTCCTCGTGGTGCGGCGGAGAACTCGAGGTTCTCGCCGGCCCCCCAGGGTGGCGGGTTGCAAGCCGCACCCTTGGCGAGCCACAGCCCATCGGAGTCGCCGAGGCTCGAGCGCGCCGTGCGCATGCTCACCGTCCTCGGCACGAAGACCCCGGGCGGCCTCGAGCGGCTGACCGGCTGGGCGCCTCGCGTCGAGGAGCTGTCCGAGGGCGCCGGAGCGCCAGCGGAGCCGCCAGTGGCATTCGGGGCGCTCGCTGGGGACCTGGTCAAGCTGGCGCTGAAGGTGCAGCCGAGGGACTACCTTACGCCAGACGAGGATCGGGGACAGACCTTTGTCGGCGGCGCGCGCCATGGAAGGGGGCGCGAGTGGGACGGGCGGCCTTCTCTGATGGAGCGCGGGGGGGGGGGCTTCCGAGATGGCGGAGTGCTTCTTGGAGCCCCTCCTGGCTTCTCAGGAGCCTTCTCAGAGCCCCCTGGGCGCTTCTAAGTAGCCCCCTGCCTTCTAAGAATCCCCCCGCCTTCTTGATTAGAGAGCCGCCCCCCTTGCGCCGCCCCCTGACGCGCGCCACGCCACACCTCCTCCTCCTCCTCCTCCTCCTCCTCCTCCTCCTCCTCGATCGGCCAGTCGGGTCGGAAGCACTGCCGTAGAGCAGGACGAGAGCAAGCGATAGACCAGCAACGGAAGAAGATGTAGAATTCCCACTGCCTCCGGCGCCCGAATGTGCGAGCCCACGGGGCGCGGGCAGGGCCAGACCAGAGGGGTACTGCCGTTTTTCCTCCTCGTCCGGCGGACTCTTTTCACCCCCCACGAGTGAAGATTGCACCTTGCAGCCACCCCAACTTCACCCGCTGAGCGTCGTCCCCGCCGGTGATCGAGTGTGAACACCTGTCGCCCCTCTCGATGGGTGCTTCTCTTCTTCTTCTTCTTCTTCTTCTTATTCTTCTTCTTCTTCTTCTTCCTCCTCTTCCTCCTCCTCCTCCTCCTCCTCCTCCTCCTCCTCCTCCTCCAGCGGCATTGCTTGTTTTATGTTGTTTTCCGCCTTGCTTGTCTGTGAGCCAGTGGCTGTTCTCATTCTCGTTGCACGTCCGTTTTTCTGCCGGCCTCTCCCCACCCCCCGCGAGGAGGGCGGCCCAGAGTCGAGACTGCGGGGCAACCTCGCGCTGCTCTTCGGGGCGCTGTGCGAGGCGCAGGGCCGGGACGGCGCGCCGCCCGCCCTGAGGCTGGCTGGGCCGGCGCAGCCGACGCTGCGGGGAGGATGGGAGGAGGACGGGAGGAAGGGAGGAGGAGGAGGAGGAGGGGAGGAACGGAGGAGGAGGAGGAGGAGGAGGAGGAGGAGGAGGAGGAGGAGGAGGAGAGATGAGGAGGAGGAGGATACAGGAGGAAAGAGGAGGAGCAGGGAGGAGGAGGGGGAGGGGGAACGAGGAGGAGAGAGGAGGAGAGGGGGAAAGAGGAGGAG